ATAGAAACAGTCTTCTCACTCCCAGCCAATTGTGAAATTGGCAGAGCATCTTCATTCTCAACTACAGTGGCTTTGGCCTTTGGCTGAGCCTTTTTGGTTCTTTTTGGCTTTGGTGGGGGCATGGATTGGGTTGGTTTAGCATCAGCATCAACTGGGAGGTCGACTAGGAGATCTTGGGCAACAGGCTTCGGGCGACCCATCTCAGCAGTTTTGACAAGTCTTCGCCGACGTTTTCTTTCGGATATTGGGACTAAGTATGGAGCTGAAGTTGATGGTTGATCGGCTAGATCAGAGGTTGACCCTTGGTCAGCCCGAGATGTTGATGCGGTTTGTAAAGTGGTAGTAGAGGGAGGAGATAAGCTCTTCTTCTTTCTTTTTGGGACGTCGGGCAGTGTAGACTTGTACGTCGGAATAAAATTCAGTACAAGTGGAGCCTTGCGCTTTTGGATTGGCAGATCTAGGAGCCTCTTTAAGTCTTTGCTGGGAACGTACGATTGGCGAAAGTCTTTTGGTGGCTTACGAACGTCTGCAAAAAGAAACAGACATTAGAAACAAATAACATATTGAAAACTTGAACAGAAACAACTAAGTATTGACACTGGGCTCTTACCCTTGCCCTCTTTAACCGATCGGGGAAGAGGGTAGAGATGGGCATCCTCGTCTGCGCCAAACTCCCAATTTCCCGAAGCAATAACATAGTCATCTCCAGCCCCCTTGTTGGAGTCCGGGAGGTCGGCTACGATTTTGAATTTAGTGGACCTCAGCTTAAGATAATAGACGAAGCCTTTTTCCTTCAGTTAAGGGGGCACATGGTATAACAGTACTGGATGTCGGCAAGAGTGATCCTAGCATTCTCCTGCCTAGGTAAAACTATGATGCCATTGATCACTCGATAAGAGTTTATGGCAAGTTGCATAGGGTTCAACTTGTAAAAGTGAAGAATTTCGCGAAAGAGAATGTTAAGTGGGAGCCGAAGTCCGCACTCAGTAAAAGCTACTATGGGAAAGGGCATTGATTCATCTGTGGGCATGATGGAGTCGTTATCTTCAGCCAGCCTCAGATGGACATCGACAGGAATAGAGAACTCTTGCCTAAAGTACTCAAGTTTGGTCTGGGTATCTACCCTATGTCTCCACATACCCATAACGTCGGCCTAAAGACAGAGGGCTAGGTTTCAGAAAGAAGGTGCTCTTAAGGGGTTATCGGAACCTCGGCGAAACCCTAGGTATATGCTGGTAAGAATTGTTTCAGTTTCCCCTAAAAATTGAAGGTTCTATAGACAAAACCCAAACCTAAATCTATGAAGGCAAAGATTGAAAGCAAAATTTAAAGGCAGAAATCTAGAAAAACAAGAAACAAAGAACGACGTTTCAGAATCAAAGAACAGAGGTATGGTTCTCAGAAGCGAAAGAAATACAGAAGTAAAAGGTCAAGAACAGTGGCAAGAAAAGTGTTGAAACAATGCAAGTGTTCAAAATATGAGTGAAATCATGGAATAGACGCATCCAGATGAATAGTTCAGCAAATCAAAGGTTTGAACAGAGCAATAATGGCAGTAAGTAAACGAAAGCACATAGAAGAAATTGGGAATCAGAAGGAACAGTTGCTTACCAGAGAAAATGAAGCCGATATGAGGGCTGCCGAAGTCAACGGTAGTTACAGATGCGACAGAATGACGAAAGTTCCACCAAGAAGACAAATGCAAAGCTTGGAGCTTCAGTGATGGCAGAATTGAAAGAACGAGTTTTAGAGAGAGAAACAGCAAATGCAAAAGTGAAGAGACGGAAAGAAAGTAAAGTTTTATCAAAAACTTGAAACGGCGGCAAAATAGGGCATTTAATGCGCCTGGAAGAACGTGTGCGTCAGACGGCGCAGACAGGTGAAAGACGGCTTACAAGCGCGTCACAGACACAGGCAAATAAAGATAGAACACGTAAGGGGAACGGTTGAGAAGAGATGCATGACAGCTCATGCGCGTGGGGGAATTTGTTTGAGTTCTTGTTCTCCGAAGAGAACACGTCGGCCCGAAATGAATGATCTCGGCTAAACCATTTTTGAGCCAATATGCAGAAAGAAATATCGATATAGGTTCCATCACCTCAGGATACCGAAGTAATAGAACCTAGGGGGCAGTTGTGGGGATATATTTTCTGAGTACCAACACGTGGCATGGTGACGCCGACGTGTCAACTGAGGTGCCACGCGTCGTGGCAGTTATGCCGAGGTTATCTTAGCGAGGCCGAGGTTATCTCCGAAGACATCGGAATCCGAGATAAGCGGATAAGGGACAAGAGTCCTAGAGTAAAGAGAAGACTTAGCCAAGATAAGGATAAAGCTCTTAGGGAGTTTATCTTTATCTCTTGAAGAGTCCAAAGTCAGTATTGAATTGAAGTCCATAGAAGTGAGGCTTCTAGTAGGATTAGGATTGAGTAAATTATAAAAGAGAGGCACCCCCGTGGGTCTAAGGTATGAGTTTTATGCTTTGAGCAATAATTTTGGCAATTGATTATCTTTGAGAGATATACTGACTTGATCGTCGGAGTGCCCCCGGGTGGAAGAGCCACTGCCGGAGCCTTTTCTTTCTGTTACAGGTTGACTGAAGCCATCTATTATGCCGGTGCTCTCTAGCTGGTCACAAGGCGGGCAGTGTGGTCAGATTTTTACCCACACAGACATATTATTACATCACATACTCTTTTCCAAAACAAAAAACCAAACTTGATAACTTGCTTTTTGCAAACGTCAAAATTATTTGGATTTTTTTTTTTTTACCGCATTGACTAGGGGTAATTTTTCCCTTTTGCAAATATTGTCATGCTATCAACCATGCCCTTCAATAGGTGGAATTCTATTTCCACCCACCTAATAAACTCAGAGCAAATCTTTTCTCAATACACATCCCTATTAATTTAATTATTAAGTAATTATCTCAATCCACATCTTTAAAATTACAAATAAATCCTCCACTCGTAACATATACACACACTTTACCCTCAAATACACACACTTCAATTTACCCCAAATTACGTTTCTACTTCCACCCACTTTGACCAAAGTGACTTGGTTCAAACAGGAAGAAGAAGAAGTTCAAACAGGAAACAAAAAAAAAATCTGCACTTTCCTCACCTCCATTGAAGATTTCAAGAGCTCCATTGAAGATCTACTAAACAGTGTTGAAAACTTGTTTAAGGTAAGAAATCTTTTAATTTTATTATTAAATTTATCATTTTGTTATTACATTGTCAATTTTCGGATCTCTCTTCACTCCATTGGCATAAAAATATGTTTTTTCTGTGGGTGTAGTTTCTGTGTAGATCTCGGCACTAGGTTACCGAATATGTGTGTTTCATTCGGCACTTGCTTTGTGAATATTGTGTATAATTTCGGCCAGTAAATTCCATAAAAAATACATAATTTCGATCTTTGATTTCCGAATTTATTATATATGTTCAGTTCATTCATTCCGAATAAATTCAATAATTTCAGTACTGAATTGTTGAAATATTTTTTTATGTTCGGTCCTGAAGTACCGAATGGTTTTTTTTTTTTTTTTTTTTTTGTTTTTGGTAATACATGATATAGAACCAAGTTAACATAGGCCACCAATATTTGTTTTACATTAGGTTCTTTTCCAGCAATTTTATTTTATGGGTATGTTTATGTATTTATTTTTTTTCCAAAATTGAATGCATAACAGTAGAAACAAAAATCTGTGCAGTATTGGTATTTCCACATGATATTGTTAGCTTAGTAGTTGGGTCTTCATAAATTTTGTTAGCTAAATAGCTTAACAAAACAATTGCATTATATAGAGTATTAAAGCTTGAGTTATTTTGCCTTTGGGGTTTGTCATTTCAAAGCATTGAAATTGGTGCCAAATTTGGTCTTTGGTTGTATGCTTACAGCTACAACAATTTTACAATCAAGGGCATGTAAAAAGACAAGTGATGGGCAGTCCTTTGATTGTTTGAAAAATGATGTTGGTATTTATTAATGGTCTATAACTGCGTATTAGATTTCATTAAGGTGGCATAGTTAGGCTACTTATTACCCGTATTGATGTGATCCTTTTATGGGAGTGCTTATTATGTTTCATTATATTGGGTTGATAAAAACAACTTTTCTTATGCAGATGGATGTCGGTCCTAGTGAACATCGGTCAGTAACAGCTTCGAACAGAAGACTCCGTGAATTAGAGAGACGTGGACGTGGACGTGCTCGAGTTCATGATGATGACATGCACATTGCCATGGATGATGATCCTATACATGGTGCACCAGTTGTGGATGATATTGCTATGGATGATGACCCTACTGGTGATGATGCTGACATTGTTGATGAAGATATCCTTACTCAGCCATTTCCGGGAGGTCCAACTGATCCATCAATCCTTAAAAGTTTTAAAAGTCATGTTGCCGCAACTATTTGGAATGGTGCTAATGAAAGGGGGCCCTTAAAGTGTCATAATCACTCATCTAATGAAAGGGGGCCCTTAAAGTGTCATAATCACTCATCTAAGATTCGTTCGTGGCTGTGGTGGGAACAAGGAAACAACGCTACATTTGTAAACATTGGATAGATGTCAAGACTTGCACAATTAGCTCATCACATTGGACGATGTCGCCACTATCCTAGGCCTTCCCATTGTAGGCAAATCTATTAGTGTGCGTAAGTTGTCAGAAAGGCGGGCCATTGCATTAGTAGTTAATACCTTGGAAATTGATGAGCAAGACGTCATACATGAGATATATAGTGCTGGAGGCAATTCAGTGAGGCTTGAGTGGTTGAGGGCACACTTTCATAATGTCACAGACAATGATTCAATGGAAAGAATTGCATGTGCAGGTAGAGCATATTTGCTATTTTTGTTGGGTTGTACACTTTTCAATGACAGGACTTGTACTAGGGTCCTCGTTGTTTATTTGAGTTTGTTGTCCGATTTGATGACTGTATCTTCATATGCTTGGGGTGCTGCTGCATTGGCATACTTATAAAGACAGATGGGGTATGCTAGCAAGTCCGGCGTGAAACAAATAGCCGGTTACATGACACTCCTTGAGCGATGGATTTATGAGCACTTTCTTGCTATTTTTGTTGGGTTGTACACTTTTCAATGACAGGACTTATACTAGGGTCCTCGTTGTTTATTTGAGCTTGTTGTCCGATTTGACGACTGTATCTTCATATGCTTGGGGTGCTGCTACATTGGCATACTTACATAGACAGTTGGGGTACGCTAGCAGGTCCAGCGTGAAACAAATAGCCGGTTACATGACACTCCTTGAGCGATGGATTTATGAGCACTTTCGTGGATTCCGACCACACTTGAATATGAATTACACTCGAGACATGCCACATGTTTACCATTGGACTTCTCGGAGAGAGTCTGGTGAAGAGACACAGTTGCAGGCGTTTCGAGAAGAGCTTGATAGGTTGGGTGTACATGATGTAAGTTGAAAAGTCCTTCAAAATTTGAAACTCTATATCATACAAAATTTACAGTTGTCATATCTTACAGTTTTTATTGTTTGTAGGTTATTTGGGACCCATACCAGAGTTACAAAGATGTCCATCCATGTCATCTAGTTACATTCTATCACGGTTGCCTAAAGTGTTTGGAAGTAGTTAAACCATATCACCCTAATAGAGTGTTGAGACAGTTTGGCAGAGTGCAGACAATCCCTAATCCACCACTTGGCCTTATGCGTGCTTCTCGAGGAGCCACAGCTCCATGCTACAATGTTATGTATGCATACTTGGACATCATTTGGGAGGCATGGGACAACCATATGTTATCTGATCGGAGGAGGAGTACACCAGTACGGCAACCTTGGGATTGTGTTCCTGGTTACATGGATTGGTACCAAACCATTACCTATATGTATGTACAAAACCCAGCGCGTCGTTCTCAAGTGGACCCGAATATCTATCATTATCAGTATCCTAGCCAAGACACACAGGTATCCTTTTTTTCGTTTACATTGCAAATTATTTATGTACACTGTTACAAGTTTGTACATAATGTTATATTTGTTCTCGTAATGCAGCATATGTCATAGATACATCAGATTACTCATCCTTTCATTGAGGTTGGCTATGAGGACAGTGTTCAACATCCTGAGAGGCTTTACTACGCGATTGATGCAATCGAACAACTTCTTCAAGATCGGCACATTACTGAATCTACGCCCAGCACATCCACTCAAGGTCGGTCTGCACCTAGCTCTTCCACTGCACATCATTTTGGAGCACATTACACTCGCCGGTCACGTAGTTAATAGTAGTTCATAATGTTAGCACAAGTAGTTTCTGATGATGTTGGTGGATGTATAAGGAGACAAATATTATTATTATCTTCGGATTATGTGTTTTTTGGATTATGTACAAGCACACATGTAGTTTGTGATGGTGTGGATGGATTGAACTACTATTTAGTATATATATATATGTTTTTTTACGTACTTGTTTAATCTTATTAGTTTTTAACAGCAATTGCACTTAGTTAATATTATTTTCATTACGTTTTGTGTTCAGACAATGTAAAAATAATATGACATTGTAGACGCGCCCTTGGGCCACACTACAGTTCGGACTCAATTTGTGTCACGGTTCTTAATCTGAACCAAAGAGTCCAAATCCGGCAAATTGTTTTGAGGAAAACAGATTTTGAAATAAGTACCAAACATGGACTGCTTTGCCAGATACAGAGTCGCCACCTAAATATTTTTATGGGGGAATTTAGGAAACCCTGACTCGGTGCCAAAGGCCACGTGTCCGTCATCACCAAAGTTGCCTCGGCTCAGGAACTTGGGTACGATTGGGGAAGGTCAGCTATGAGCACCCCCTCTCGCCCGATCCAAAGATCGGCCTCTACTAACTGTGATATCCTATTTTGAAAACGTTATGCGTTCTTATTCCGGTTATTAGCCTAGATTTACTATGTTATGCGCATAGCAAACAAGTATAGACTAGACCGCATAATTTGGAACAAAACATTGCATATCCGTTTGTTTGGAAAACGCTTTGGAATTTGCTACTCACAAGTAGGCTAAAATACGGATTTCAACGAGTTATCTCAACTCAAACAATCCAACCTTCACCCACATGCATTCAAGTAGTTCATCAAATAAGCATCTAGCCTCATGGTAATCATGCTATCATGTTAACGTTCACACTCATGTGAGATGCTAAAGCATAAAGAGCTCACCTAGTACTCCGTGCCAAAACAAGAACATGTTAGCAATCATGCATGATCCAAGTCCATGTTAATGTGCCTAATGCAACGCATACGGAATGTCACTAGAGTAGGCTCAGTCTATAAATGACATGTGAAAATGCACAAGTAGCATGTATTCAAGTTAGATTTGAAATATTTATGCAGTTAGTATGATGTACCGAGCCCGGTGCATGTAGGACAAATGTATAGATTCACGCATGCATAGCATAAGGTATGCTAAAGTAAACATGTCCTAATACTAACCATCAAAAATATGTAAGTAAAAGGGAGAAAGAAGTGGGGGTTGGAAGACATGCACATACGTACCCACACTTATTACAAATTTGCCCTCGCTTGGAGGGACCGAAAGAATAATACAATTTAATTAACCTACAAGCTAATTAAATATTACAAATCAATTAAATTAGTTAAGCAAATTAACTAATCTAATTAAGCAGTAAACAACAGCCTCGGGAAGAGGGTCCAATGCATACGCGCTCGGTTCCGCTCGGAAAGTCACTACCATGCACAAAATGCCTCTGCTTTGGCTGTTATCCTCCTCTGAAGACTGCACAAGTCCCAAGGTTGCTTCTCTGAGTGCTGTAGAACACCACCGGCTGAAGGGATTGGTCACCGGCCATGTGTGATGGTCACCGGCCACAAAATAATCCATCGGCCAAAAATGGACGGCCGGTCGGCCAAATCTTCCTGCAAAAACTGGTTTGACAGTAGCAGAGGACAGAACTTGGCATGGCAATGCATTTCAAGCAATGTATGCAACAACCACACTCCTTATCATATTTATGACTCAAAGGAGGATGGGCCTCGATTCTCGGGCCACCAATCATGCATTTCCATGCATGATGGCCCAAAGAATCAAGTGTGCATGTTGATATGGAATGCAATGCACATAATCAAGCAAATTGAACTCAACCTCTATCACAAGCAATTCAAGAGGCGAAGCATGCATACCAATGCGATGCAATCCTAAGCATGTCAACTAGTATCCAACATGGACAATGCTAAGAAGCATACAAGGCATACAATGGTCATGCAAGACATAGAGCATGAGACAATGCAACTAACAAGTATGCAAGGTGCAATGTGGGTGTTCGAGCATGCAAGCAAGCATGTAACTTCATTCAATCATGCAACTCCAATCATGCAACAATACACAGATATGCAACAACATACAAGGTGGGCATACAACAACATGCAAAGGGGTGGGCTTAAACTAACATGGATAGCTTGCAAGCTTGCCAAAATCAGTGGCCAATACTATGGAAGTGAGGTCCAACACACACACACGTTTGCATGCAAATATGGTCCAACACTTAAGCATATGAAGACAACTTGTAAGCACAAAAACATGGACTAATGACATGCAACATAAGCTCTGAAAAAAATGTTAAAATGGTGCCAAACCAAGCCAACAAGACAAGCATAAGCATGCAATTAGAGGTCCAAAACTCAAGGCAAGCTAAGGAGATATTGAACTACCCTTAGCAAAACCAAACATGACATGAATTAAATGACCAAAAACAGAGTTTTAGCATATTAAAACAAAGCCTAAAGACCACTTAGATGGCATCTAAATGACTTAAATTCAAGGGCATGCACAATGACCAAACATGGAGCATAAGGCACAACCTCATAAGGCATCAAAAAGGCATCAAAGGCAAGCATGCAAGCATGTCATGAGGACTGAAATGATGCTATAAGTGGTGTCAAACCACTGAAATAAAGCAAGGATGGCATGCTAGAGAGGCCAAAGCTTAAGGCATTCAAGAGAGATTGCATGGTAGCTATACAAAGCAAGACATGAATGACTCAAATGACCTAACACAGTCCCTTAGCACATCAAAATATGCGTATAAGCTTCACAAAGCTTAGCCAAAACACATGAGCATGGTAGTCTAAATGTTATGCATGCATTGAGGCAAATCATGGCATTACAAGGCATGTATGCTAAGAAAGCATGGTGTACCAAAACCAACTCAACACAATGCTATTTCATGGCAAAATAAGCATAAATATCAGTCAAGGCATGGTCAACACACACTTAAACTAGATGCTCCCTCAAGAGGCAAAAATAGCCCTTTTCAAGGACAACAAGGAGAGGGGGTGGCCCTCTCCTTCCTAGGACCTCAAGGCACCATCCTCACCTCTAGAATCCCTCAAGATTTCAGTAGTGAGAAGGCCCAAACACAATGGTCCCAGAGCTCAACCAAAATGGCACAAAACAAAGGCCAAACAAGCCTTAAGACGGGTCAAACAACCCCAAAGCTTAAAACACCCTTAACAAACTATTTAGAGAACTCAAAAACAAGACTTATTATATGTTATATGCCCTAAGCCTCAAAATAGATGC